CTGACAGGGAACACAACAGAGAGTCCCAGATGGAGCAGGAGAAAGATGGGATGCAGAACTCAAATTCTAGTAAGAGGACCAGACTTAACGGTCTGAGACTGGAGCAACCCCGGAAACCATGGCACCTGGATCCTCCATCAGCCCAGAACTAAAACAGTTTCCAAGGCCAACTCTTCAGACAGGGATTGGACTGGACTGTGGGACATAAAGTGATACTTGTGAGGAGTGTGCCTCTTAGCTCAAGTAGATACAAGAGACTAAACGGGCAGCTTCTGTCTGGAGGTGAGATGGGAAGGCAGAGAGGGTTAGGAGCTGGTTGACTGGACATGGGGGATCAGGGGTGGAAAGGAGGAGTGTGCTGTCACAGTATGGGGAGAGCAATTGGGGTCACATAACAATGTATGTATAAGTTTTTGTATGGGAAAAAAGAGAACAAACAAAATAGCATAAGGGAATAAAAGCACACCTATACTAAGTCACAACCATGAGCATACCAGAATTCTGTCTGGAAAACAGCACTTCGCCATTGTTTATGGGAAAACAGGACACTGCCCCCTTTAGGTCAGGGACATACTCTCATATATGCTTTGTTCCTCTTAGAAACCCATGATTGATTTTCCTGTTCAATGGAATGGCACTTGGAAAACTGCAGCAGTACGAGTCTGCCTTTGGCACCTCCTACACTCTTTCAGTGTGTCTCTTCCCAACCACGCTCCCCTCTCCCCAGCCATTCGAGTTCTCACACGGCTTCAGAGCCTTCTGTGTAGAAGAAAGTGATCTGATAGACAAATGCACAAATCTTTAATAGTTGAAAGCATGCTTAACAATTAGAAAGTTTCCAGAGGATATATGCATTTTAAAAGACAACTGAATTAAAAACAGTTGAATGCTTTAAAAAGGTTCCATCAATTTGCTAAAAATTACTGCTGAATTAGAAATAGGTATAACAACTTTAAAATGTTGGTTTTTAAAACAAAAATCTGGGACTCTTCATTTTGTATCTAAGTTCTCAGTCAATTTAAAGAAATACATTAGGAAATGTAGATGATGCCTTCGGATGTCTTATCAAGAGATGAAGCAGAACTCCAACTGGAGGATCCAAATGCTAAGAAAAAGCCCTGGCTCCCCATCAAAAGATTGTCAAAGCAATGTTCATTTATAAATTTTAAATATTAAAAACGTGTGAAGCAGGTATTTTTAAAAAGGCTTCCTTCTATTACTGATTAAGTGATCAACTACCAGTCTTGATCATGTCAGATAAGAGGGCTTCCGTCATAAATCAGACCACCTCAGAGACTGGTGAGCGATATAAAGAAGGGGGGAACTGCACAGTGGGATACAGTATATCAGAGCGTGTCATTTTAGCTGGATATCCTTTATTTGGCGCTCCCAGCACCTCGATGTACTACAGGGCAAGTTCTCATAATTCTCATTTCGCATACAGGGAAAGTGACTCAGGGAAGTCACGTGCACACTTCCCACCTGGACAAGCAGGACCAGAGTGCTCTGTCTCGTACACTAATGCTGTTTCTACTATACCGAAGGCCTCAGCTGTATTATACTGGTTTGAAAGTGGTGAACTTGGTGTGCAGAAACTGTGAACACTGGAATTGCTAATCTCAACTGGACTAAATGTCTAGCTCTTTAAAGTCAAAGACACAACCTCTTCTAGATTTTGTGTCTGCACCTCCATTTTCACCTCAGTGTGAAAAATATGAAACATACACGAGCAGACCTGCCTTTTGTTAGTTCAGTATCTACGTCCACATCAGTCAGGCTGTAGCTGAGTCTGGTGTGTAAGCAACAAAAAGCTGAAAAACAGGTCTTCAGCAAACACAAAGGATGCCAATAAAGCTGTTAAAACGAGAGTTGGCACGCTATTCGGCCCATGGCCTATTTTTGTAAATAAAATTTTATGGGAACATACACACGCCCATTCGTTTACATCTTGTCTTTAAGGCTACTTTTTCATTACAATGGCAGAGCTGCAACCAAGACTCAGTGTCTGCAGAGCCTGAAATATTTACTATCTGGCACTCTGCAGAAAAATTTAGCTGATCCCTGTTCTCAATCATTAGTTAGCTGCTTTACTTTTAAAGATCTATAGGCAAACAGCAGGTTCAACTTCTGGCCCATGAAAAATGTTATCAGCATTAAATATTTGAGAATTTTTTAAGCTCAATCCGCACTTAAGAAAGTGCATCACTGTTTTCTACTTTTAGGAAGTCCTGCAGCAGTTAACCAGAAAGAGAGGATAATAATGACTCTTTATATTCCTCTCAGACACATCCTGGTACTACGCATCCATTCACCACTTCCTCCTTCTAATGCCAGGCACATCTCTTACAATCCGCTAAAAGACAAGCAGCCTTTGATAGCTTCCCACTGGGGTTACTGAAGATGTGCAGCTATGTTGTACTGCCCGAAACATTCCAAAGTATCCTGCATGCTTGTCTGTGTGGAGTAAAGCTTGTCTTGATAAAGTAAACTTTCCTGGGAGAAGAAAATTATTTAAACAAGTGTGAGTTTCTTTGTATAGTCTGTAATCTGACAAAGGTTGGACAAAGTCCATATGATCACAGCACAGCTACATTTTCCAAGAGAAGTTGCAAACTGTTTATACTTGTTTTATAATTCTGTTCGAGTCAGCAATCTTTTATCAAGTGTCTACAAGTTAAACAACACGATTATTAGATGCTTAGCATATGATGTTTTTAACAACCTTCTTCAGAGATGTGGCTGGCATTCCTAGGAGCTTTACAGTCTTCTAGAGCCTAAAATCCTTCTGGGGAGTTTGCCAAATGAATTTTAACTACTGTTTTTGGAAAGCTAAGAAATTTCAGTAGAATCTTACTCCTTATTTATTCAGCTGTAAACTTAATTATTAAATCAACTTTCATTAGTTTTGTATTTTATGAAAGATTTTTTATAAAAAAAATACAAAGCACATATTTGATAGCAAGTATTCAGTTTTGCAAAATAAGTCATACAGTTTTAAAAAACTGTGCCTTCTGACTAATGTTTGTTTCCTCAAAATTTCTCTAGCACTTAAATCTTACAATATCTTATGCTCTAACTTTCTATAAACAGTTTACTACAGTATTTTATCTTTTATTGTTCCCAAACTGATTAATATCTCTATGTCGTTTTTCTCCAACTAGCAGGCAAGGCCTTGTCTTATAGAAGGCATACGTATCTTAGATTTACCTTGCCTAATATATGACACAAAACAGAAATAACCTGACCAATGAATGAAATCAATACAGTACTGCTAATGCTATTGATCTCTACAACCATTTCACTCCCTGTGTATTCTGGCAATGTAAATGGCAAACTGGATCCATACAATCATAATTACTGTGGGTACATTCTTTAAAACACTTACCATGCAACCTTTTATCTTCATATGCAATCCTTTTAGGCATTTTACTGGGGCTCAGAAATTTGTGGAATCTTGCACAAACAAGGTGAAACAGCTGATTAACTAAGACTAGCTATCAAGCTTTTATTAAATACCTAATTCAATCCAGGTCTCCTGACTTTGGCATGGTATACTTTCCACGAGCCCATGAAATTACAAAGTCTAAAGTCATACATCAAGGGACAAAGAACTCAATGTCTGGGAATTCTGATTCTATAAAATTACACGGTAAGAAAGTCAACAATTTTAAAGACAAACAGAAGCGTAAACAAATGCCTGAATATGAAATTTAGTTTCACCCAATTAAAATGGTTAGTTGATGGGACAATTTCTTTTGAAGAAACTACTTACAAAGACCATGTCTTTTAAAAATATGTGGATGGTATGTATGAATTTAGTGAATCTGTTCACCACATTCCAAACATCAGAACCAAAGGTAGCTTCCGAACAATCAGAATAAATATTTTTCTATTACCCTGTCTTCAAGGTGTAACTCAGGAGTCATTTCCTTCAAGACTTCCTAATAGTATCACTTACTCATTGCCTTCTCTTTAACTGCAGTGCCACTTCGATTCAACACTTTGCCAGGTGGCTGGCATAACATTTAGTATTAGTCTGTTTCTATGTAAACATTGCATCTCTCCAAACAGAAAGAAAGTTCTTCTGTGTTAATACCTGTAGAGCCCTAGCAGGCAACATTTCGGAGGATAGGACAATGATGTCAAAGGACTTGTTTCCTCAATCCACACCGAGGACTAAAAAACGCAAATATTCACGGAGAATTTAAGTCCATTGATGATAGATTTGTAACCTGTTACTAATGGGAGTTTAGGCTGTGTCTACAATGTGGACAGTACTTGCTTAGATACGGGACTCTTATGCAGTATACAACCTGAACACCAGTCCACAGAGGTCCTGGCAATACGAATGTTATAGATAAGGAACACTGGGTGTTAACATAATGGAGATATTACTTGTTGCCATAAATCCTGGAAGGCTTTGTAAAAGGTGCCACTGGAGCTAGGCTGTGGTAAGAGGGGTAGGTTTAAACTGCAGATAAGAAGCGCACAGGAAGATACGTGGAGACAGGAATACAGGTGGGAGCAAAGGCTTGCTAGGAAACAGTGAGCAGTCCAGTCTGGCTGTTTGTACCATTATCTTATAAAGTCTGCTGAAAACCAGGGCGGAACATCAGAGGACAACAAACATTAAACAGGAATGAGCATCTGCTAACCTGCTCTACTAATACATCTCTAAGATGAACCAATGATTGAAATGGGGGGTCCTGGCAAGACAGCCAGATGATGAAGGATGGTGAATGAATTCCATGAGGACTTTATCCTAAGCAGTGGGGAGCTAGCAAAGCAGGCGAGTGAAGGGAGCAGGATGAGTAATATGATCAAATTGAGGTTCTCGAAAAATCTGACAGCAGCTGGAAGGTGGTTCGGAGAGAAAAACAAATAGAGAAGTTAGGAGTTAGCCGCCAACAGCCCAGGCAGAAGATGAGATCTTGACCTAAGGCGGTGTCAGAGGGATGGAGGCAAGGTGATGAATTCGAGTTTCATCTTAACAAAAGACTTTTTAGATCCTGGAGACTGGATGTGGATGAAGGAGAAATCAAAGATGATTTTCTGGTGTTTTAGCCAAACACTGAAACACAGGAAAGAAGAAGGGTTTGGTTTGGAAGGATGGCTGGCAATTTAACTCTAGATATGTCAAGTTTGAAGTCCTATGGCAATATCCAGTAAAGAGTTTAACATGATCTGGACAGAGTTTAGGAAAGAGATCTGGATCAGAGTGGAGGTGGGAGCAGAAGCTGTAAGAATGGGTAAGAGAAGAGGACCAAAAATAAAAATCAATCTCAACATTATAGACAGTGAAGGAAGAAAATGTGAAGGAACTAATATCCCCAGGAAAGGTCTCTCAGAATCCAAGGGAAGAATTTCAGGAAAGAAGGAATTACTATTTGCACAAACAGTGTCAGGTGAGATAACTCAAAATTAGACAGTGGATTTGGGGGGGTCAAGTGAAAGCACTTACAGAAGGCGGCGACAGACTGCAGAGGGGAAGGAGCGAACCTACTTCCAGACACGTGAACACCCTTGCTTTACCTTCACCTCCACAGTGAATGGTGGAACACAGGCGTTTTCTGCTCTGCCCACTATCACTTCCTCTAAGGGGTCCCATTCGTTGTAAGAAGAGACAGGGCAGTCCTTGGGCAGAGGGTTAGTGGCCTTGTCGTCAGCTGCACAGGAGTTCTGGGGGGAAGCTGTAGCTGCCTGGGTGCTCTGGAAAGTTCGCTGCACCCATCCTGTTAAGTTTCTTCCAAGCTTTCGAAAACAAAGAAAAAATTATTATGTAGCCCTGTACGGTATTCGGGGGGAGGGGGAGAGTGGAGGTGGAGTGAAAATCCAGAATAACATAGTCAGACATTGAAAATCCTTTGGGAGAGTATAAACCAAGATGTTAATGGTGTATAGCTAGGTAGGGAGGGGTCCCGGTGGCGCAGTGGTTAAGAGCTCAGCTGCTAACCAACAGGTCAGCAGTTCTGCCAACCAACAGGTCAGCAGTTCTGCCAACCAAGAGGTCAGCAGTTCTGCCAACCAACAGGTCAGCAGTTCAAATCCACCAGCTGCTCCTTGGAAACCATATGGGGCACTTCTATTCTGTCCTACAGGGTCACTAAGAGTCAATACTGACTCCATGGCACCTAACAACAACAGGTAGGTAGGAGGATTACAGGTGATGTTTACCTTCTTGTTTACCTATATACAATATTATCTTTTACTGAGTATATGTTAATTTGTATAACTTTTTTAAACCCCTCAGAAGGTTTTGTCCCCAATGACCATACACCTCCAGAGATATCTCAGAATTGGGTTTCTGCAGTCAAGCTTGAATCAAGCTTTAAGCAGCTCTTTCGCAGATGATGGGCCACCCTCTTCCCAGCAAGCCACAGAAAGCTGCTCCGTGTCTCTGCCAAGTGCAGCCCTGGGAGGGAGTCTCTCTTCCCCTCCAGTATCAAAGGTTACCGACATTAGCTTTTTTTCCGGAAAGAACACTATGGGGAGCATTTCCAGGGGATCTTATCTTTCAGACGAATCAGTTTCAAACTAAAAATTTTTCACTGCTGACACACTTCACATTCTCCGGCACCTCAATTCTGAGAGTGACCAGCTGCTCTCTGCTCCATTTTACAGATGGTCTACAGTGCCTAGCCACGATAAGGGTGAGCCCAGGCACAAATTTAAACAAGTAAAAAGGAGACCTAAGAACTTCCAAAGAACTCATAAAAATGCAGGGCCTATAAAACCGAGAGCAGGGAGAATTCCTCACTACTGGAGCAAATCTCATCCCCCTCCCCCCCATCTCTACCCTACTCAGTTAAATTTTAGGAGGGAGGCAGGAGGGAAGCTGGGTGCAGACCAAAGCCAGCGGGGGAGCAGCGGGAGAGTGACAGCTGTTCCCCAACCAATTGCTGGGGTAAGTCAAACTGCCCGAGCTATTCCTGTCCTAGGAGCAAGGGAGGGTCTGCAGGCCTGCCTCACATCCCAGGGACGCGGAGGGCGGGACCGGGCAGAAGCTCTGGGCAGAGGCTGCAGTCGCTCCAACTCCTCTTACGACTCAGGACTCCACATTGCATTTGGAGCCGGCTTACTCTCTCTCTCTGCCCCTATTTCCCCTCTCTCTTTTCCCCATTCCTCCACCTCACACGCATCTGCCCGAAAGCCTCTCAACTCTATACCTGCCCTGGGAACTGAACCCCAACAACGCCACACTTTTCCTAATTAGAGTCACTCGTCACCCCTCCCCCCCGGCCACGCCCCGGAAGGAAGGCTTCGGAGGGCGAACCGAAGTTCGGTTGCGAATGGCTGTGCCCGACGCAGAGTCCACCGCGGCCCGAAACGCGCGGGGAGCCAGTGTAGCCACGGGGCGGGGCCGCAGAGCATGCCCCCCCTTCCCCAGAGACACGGCCAAGTTCCCTGCAACCAGCAAAAGTCCTTCAGAGCTTGCAAGAGGGACCAGAAGGGGCATTTTCATGCACTTCTAGTTTCGGAAAGCGACGAAACACCGCGGCTCCGGGGAGGGAGCAGGGGCTCGGTTCCGCGCGCACAGCCGCACGAGGCCCGCGGCGCACGCACCCGAGACCCGATGTAGTGCACCGCTTCTGCGCCACGGCTCCCGCCGCGCAGACACCGCACCCGCAGCATCGCCTCGTTCCTGGCTGTTCCGAGAGCGGAATCTTCTAGCACTCGTCCGCGTCGCTTCGAGCCTCCCGAGAGCGCGCTCAGAGAGAGTCCCGAGGCACGCGCGCCCGCAGCCTTTTGTAGGCTCGCTCCACCCCCCGACCGCCCCCGCGAACTCCCCGTTGGCTGCCGGGAACAGGTGGTGGGGCCCCGCGGAGCGAAGGGCGTTTGGCGCTGGACTGCACCGATTTAGGAACTACAGCGGGGCCCGGGGGTCAAGGCGCCGGTGGTTTCCCTTTTTTGGCTTGCCAGTCCACTGGAGCTGCTGCTGCGCTCCGCAAAGCCCGGCCCGGGTCCGCGGAAGGAGGGCCGCTGGTGTTTAAGGGAAAGAGAGGAGGGTGTGACTTCTGAAGTAATTTAATATTATATACATATATTGTTTCATGTTTAAATTTACACTTATGAATTTAAATATGTAAAGCGTGAATATAGCCATACGTATAAATTCACATATGTGCACTGACCCAGTCTCCTCATTTTACAGTTAACAAAACCATCTAAAGTTTAGGCTTCTTAGAGCACCATCGGGTTTGAGACTGGAGGGGACTAAGTCTGGAACTCAGGTCGTCCGCCCCCCAGGGTGCTGCGCTTTCCACCCAATTAGCGGGTTGGGTGTTCTTTAGAATACTTGCCATTTCAAATGCCCTTTGGCCGTGTGCCCTTGACTTGAGAAACTGCATCATGAGAATAGAGACAAGTGTGGGCTCGAAATAAGGGAGCCAAAGGCAGTTTCTTTCCTTCCTTTTCTTGTATTTAAGCTTTTGTTTCCACTTGGTTAGGACACGTTTGTTGGTAAAGCAATTGCCTAACAGTGCAATCTCAATTGCTGCGGATTTGTGCAAAACTAGAATATTCAGTTTATAATCAAGTTCTTAGCTGCAGAGGGGGCAGGAAGATACGGGTATTTAATTTTTGTACTCACATAATATGTAACTTCTTTTTTTAAAAAATTTTTTTGTTGAACTTTAGGTGAAGGTTTACAGAACAAATATTTTCTCATTAAACAGTAAGTTTTATGTTTGTTTTATGACATTGGTTAACAACCCCACGACATGTCAACATGGTCCCTTCTCGGCCTTGGAGGACCTCTTTTTTTTTTTTGGTGAAAATATACCTAGCCAATGATATACCATTACAGAAATTTCTACACGTACAATTCAGTGACGTTGGTTATGTTCTTCCAGTTGTGCTGCTATTCTCACTTTAGATGAATGTTTACAGAACAAAATAGTTTCTAATTAAACAGTTAGTACATATATTGCCCCATGACAATGGTTAAAAACCCCACTACATGTCAACACTGGGCTCCCTATTAGCAGCTTTCCTGTCCCTTTCTGCCTTCTAGTCCTTGTCCCTGGACTGCTATGCCTCAGTAGTCTCGTTTTGTTTTATGGGGCTGTCCAATCCCTGGCTGAATG